AAGAAATCAATGCAGGCTAGCTTAAGAGATCAAATGGAGGTTATCAAGTCTATCTTTGCTGATCGCCATTGTTCTTTCTTCCTGGTCGTGATGCTTCTAGCCTCAACATTGTCATTAGCGATTGCAGAGATCCACCACCATGATTTTGTTGTATGTCCTAGTAATTAACTCCTTATCCTTTGGTTATTTAATGTATCATCTTCAAATCAATAATCCTGATCTCCATCTTTCTCCTGGTAAACGTTTATATTTTAATATGGAACAGGTTCAAGCAACGAAAGTGAAGAGGCTGTGCAAAACCCACAATAGCATCACAGTCAATGGGATGTTCCCAGGGCCAACCCTGGAAGTGAAGAATGGAGACACTCTAGTTGTAAAAGTTGTGAACAAAGCCCGATACAACGTTACCATTCACTGGTAATCAATTGCATGAGTCACACATGCACGTGTGATCGCATTCCTACAAACATACATGTTCCCGACAAATCATTACATGGAGCATGAGGCATATATACAATGCATGTTTTTTTAGTTTTCTACCAGCTGCATGTTCGAAATCACTGTTCATCACACACCCAGCTCACGAACCATTCCAACTCCACTATTCTTTGGCACATTGTCTACTTAGCAATTGACCTCAGATCATCATATTTTTTTAGGCATGGTGTTAGGCAAATAAGAACGGGCTGGGCAGATGGGCCAGAATTTGTGACACAATGCCCGATCAGACCAGGTGGGAGTTATACCTACAGGTTTACTATTGAAGGACAAGAAGGGACACTTTGGTGGCATGCTCATAGCTCTTGGCTTAGAGCCACCGTTTATGGTGCTATAATTATCCTTCCAAGAGAAGGATCCTCGTATCCGTTCACTAAGCCGAAGCGTGAAACACCCATACTTCTTGGTAATTATCCATCATTAATTTCCTCTCAAATTCCTTAACCATAATTACTAGATTCCCTTAGTTATTAATTATTAATTATTGACTTAGCTTCAAAACAAATGTTTGTGTGTTCTAACTGTTGATTCTGACTAATGATCAGGCGAATGGTGGGATGCGAATCCCGTAGATGTGGTGAGGGAGGCAACTAGAACTGGAGCAGCTCCAAATATATCTGATGCATATACCATTAATGGTCAACCTGGTGATCTTTATAATTGTTCCAGCGAAGGTAACTAACCATATGTTTACTTACAATCAGGACTACAGTAGGAAAACATGTACATGACCTGTTGAACTATCTTGTGATCGTGAACTGTATCGAAAGAGCCCAGTCACGATAACATAGCTAATAGCTTCATGCCCAGATGGGGCTTTTGTTTTTAGTCTGTTTGGTAGATGTTCCATAATTAGCTTTAACATGTATATAAAGGCTTCAAGAAAATATTGCAAATTAACTGTAGCAATGAAATAATTATTAGTAGGCTGGAGCCCAGCAAGTATCCTATAGCCCAATAGACTGCTAGGGAGACCCATTCCAAGACTTGATCTAGTTTATGTATTTCATAGAAGATGATCTCAAGGAACTGATATTTTTGCAGATACTACTATTGTTCCGATCGCATCTGGTGAGACAAACCTCCTTCGAGTCATCAATGCTGCACTCAATCAACCGCTTTTCTTCACCATAGCCAATCACAAGTTCACAGTTATTGGTGCTGATGCCTCGTATCTTAAACCCTTTACTACCTCGGTCATAATGCTAGGACCAGGCCAAACCACTGATGTTTTGATCTCAGGCGATCAACTACCTGGCCGATATTACATAGCAGCTCGAGCTTATCAGAGTACGCAAAATGCACCATTTGACAATACTACAGCCACTGCCATTCTTGAATACAAATCTGCCCTTTGCCCTGCTAAGTGTACAACAAAACCAGTTATGCCTCGACTTCCAGCTTATAACGACACAGCTACAGTTACAGCATTCACTAGAAGCCTTAGAAGCCCTCGAAAAGTCGACGTCCCAACAGATATTGACGAGAACCTCTTCTTCACAATTGGTCTAGGGCTCAACAACTGTCCTAAGAATTTCAGAGCTAGGCGGTGTCAAGGACCCAACGGCACTCGATTCACTGCTAGCATTAACAACGTTTCTTTTGTGTTTCCTTCAAACATTGCGTTACTGCAGGCGTATCGGCAAAAAGTTCCTGGGATTTACACCACTGACTTTCCAGCAAAACCACCAGTAAAGTTTGATTACACTGGTAATGTGAGTCGTTCCCTCTTTCAGCCTGTTCGTGGAACTAAGCTGTACAAGTTGAAGTACGGATCAAGGGTGCAGATTGTGTTGCAGGACACAAGCATTGTCACACCAGAAAACCACCCAATGCATCTTCACGGATACGACTTCTACGTCATTGCAGAAGGATTTGGAAATTTCAATCCCAAAACTCATAAATCTAAATTTAATCTTGTTGATCCACCAATGAGGAATACAGTTGCAGTGCCTACGAATGGATGGGCAGTCATCAGATTTGTTGCTGACAATCCAGGTAATTTAGAGTTAATCTAGAGTCGATCCATGATCCGCTTCAATTCTTCAATTGAAAATTAAAACTCATCGACTTGTTTTTGTCGTGATTAAACAGGTGTGTGGATTATGCACTGTCACTTGGATGTTCACATCACATGGGGTTTGGCCATGGCTTTCTTGGTAGAGGATGGGATTGGGGAATTACAGAGTGTAGAGCCCCCTCCAGCAGATCTGCCGATATGTTAATTATGATCGAAACATAAAAGAAGATTTTACCCATTGTTGACATTCTTCAGAAGACAACAGCTATAGGATTTTCTTTCCTTTCTTTTCTGGTTGTTGTATTCAATTCCATGTGTTGTTCTTCCCTACATTCGGGGACATAGTTCAATATTGTATTTTCCCCCTCTTTTATTGATAGATAATAGGCGGGCATACAAGAGATGGTGCCTTTGAAACAGGAGTCGCCATCTCATGTTAGTGACAGACCTGCTTGTTTCTTGATTTTAGAGCTCTTTTTCTCTCTTTGTTAATAATACAATCATACTTTATGAATACTCTGCTTTGATATGCTGCGTTTTGAACATTGCAATGATCAAACATTGATAAACATGTTAAGGATGGGAAGGCAGCCCAACACCAAAAATCAACTTCTCCTTCACTGACATCAATCGAATGGCATACGGTCGTATATAATTATCAAATAATAATAATATTATTAATAATAAATCAACGCACCATGCCAAATCTAATGTTTCAGTCAATGGATCTTCTCTATCCATCACATACAATCTCGGTTTTGTAACTCAATTTCACCTTAAAAAATGTAGTTGTAATTAGTTTTAAAATTTTTTTTATTTTAAAATATATTAAAATAATATTTTTTATTTTTAAAAAATTATTTTTGATATCAACACATCAAAATAATTTAAAAATATTAAAAAAGTGTTAATTTAAAATAAAAAATAAAAAAATTTAAATTTTTTAAAACATATTTTTTAAATACAAGAACAAATAAAACCATTATGCAGATGGTTTATGATATATATATAAGCAAGATAATTTTTTTATAATGTAATATATATATATAATCCATCCGTGGCTTCACTGTAACATTGGAATTTAAAAAATTAAATAAAAAATAACAAAAAGACCAAAACTAAATCAATAAAAAAAACACCTTGCTGAATATAATAAAAATAATTGCCATGATAAGGATAATTTAGTAATTGAAACTTTCATTGGATTAATTTCCGGAACAGGTAAAATAACCATGAGGGCGGCAGTACTGGAGAGAGGAGACAATGTGCGTCAGCTCCCATGTTATAAATAGCAATTTTCCTTTTGTAGAGAAACGCGTTGTCCTTAGCCATTTCAAGTGATTCCTCGGCTTTTCAAAGGGTTCCCCTCTTGCCAAGGTTATACAACCACGGGATATGATTGGTTGCGTGGTATCTTGACACGTGGTAGACATGCACCATAAAGTGAAAACCGGAATACTGTTACCTGGGTTCCACTGCTGATGTACACGTTTTGATTTTCCATTAGCCATCAATTTTAGTACTCCGGAAGGACTCCACTAACTAAAGGTTTTTTTTTATATAAATAAAAATATATTAAAGTAATATTTTTAAAATTTAGTTATTTTTAATATTAATAAGATCATCAAAAAGATTTAAAAAATGTTAATTTTTTATTTTTTGATGTAAAAATAATTTAAAAAATATATTAAATAGCATCATTAAACATAAATAAAAAAACATTAGGATATATATATTTTTTAATAAAATAACGTTATCAATTCGGGGAACCATATCAATTCGTGGACCGATCACGCAATGTTGTGCTGAAACCCGAACCCTTGTATTTTATCTGGTATTGCAACAGTAATTTGAAATATATTTAAGGGTACCAATCACACATTTATTCGAACAAGAGTCAATTTCAGTCCATGGCAGTTATGGCAATCTCCTGTGAGAGGTTTTATATATATATATATATATATAACATTTTAATGAATTATTATTTCAGCAATGAATATCTAATTTTGACTTTGACTGGTGGGAATTAATCTTGTGTGTCAATATGTGACAATCTGTTTGTTTTATTTCTCGAGAATGATATTTGCATAATTCTTAAATCTTATACGTTTAGATTTTGGGACAATTAATTGAAGAGTTTATTTACCGTATTTTAGCACGCGGAACTCACGAACAAATTGAAAGCCTTCAAAAAAGAAGGATGGAGTAAATCTGTTGGAAATGGCAAAAATGAAATTTCAAAGAAACAGAGTGAGCAAGTAAATAGAAAGAGGTCTAGGGAGGGGAATCCCTTCGGTGCCAAGTAAAGACGAGAGCCAGCCTAGGTTCGGGACGCTTCGGGTTTCCAGCTGTCATTAGGTTCGGAATGAAACGCCTCTAGTGAAATCCAAACCGACACGTCATTAAAAAATTGAATTCCAGAAATATCCAGGGCAAGGCTATAATTATCCCGGTACCCTCTTCCCCAAAAGAGTTATCTGTAACTTTAGAAACTATCCTCTCTCTCTCTCTCTCTCCCTCTCTCTCTCAAAACAGAAAAAATACAAACAAAAAACCAGCGCGGGACAACAAAGTCCAAGACGGAAATTTAAGTGATTCGTGTAAGATTTTGATTTCTTGAAGCGAATTTCTTTGCAGGTTAGTTAGTTAATCTCAGCTTAAGAGTTTTTGAAATTTTTGTTTCTAGCTCATTTTTTGTTTCTAGGGTTTGGTCGATCAAATTGGGTAACTAGGTGTTGTTTAACTGGTGATAATTTTTTTCTTTCGTGGTGTCTAGTCGGTGGAATTTCTCTTTCCGGGGTAGGGTTTCAAATTGGGGGTTATTATAATTGGAGTAAATTTTGTGACTAAAAGCCCAAGTGGCAAATTGAGGTGTTACAGAAGTAGTTTTCTGTTTGTGGAGTGGTAAATTCTTCCCCTAGAAATTAGATTTTCTTTGTTAATTTTTTTTTTTGGGTCTGTTAAATTTTCGTACCTTCGGAATTTATTAATTTACTTAATGGCCAAGATAAATATTTCCGTGGAGAGCAATAATGGTGACTCTTTTAAGGGATTTAACTGATAAGAGGTTTATTACTTGTTAGTTAAGGAAAAACTTCCTGTCCAGAACTGGAAAGTAAATAGGACAAAATAGAGCAAACTTGGGGAGCAAGTAATTTTGCTGTCCTGACTGGATAAGGATTAGTTGGTTCTGTCTATATATATATATATCAAACATTAGCTGTCACTGTTTGGAGAATTTGAGATTTGTTATTTTTCTTGTGTTTCTCCTGCTCAAGTATTTGATTAGTGGTACTTAATTTTACTTGCTTATCTGCTGCAGATTCTGAAACTCTTGTAGTTTGGCTGTACTGGGATCAAAATTGTTGGGTACTGAGATTGAGAAAATGGGTACTCTTGATCAAGATTCTAAAGCGACTCCTATGCCTACGGATTCTACTAAGAAGAGGAAAAGGGTAAGCAATAAATCTGTAGCCGAGACCCTTAAAAAGTGGAAGGAGTATAATGAGTATATTGATTCTCAAGATGATGGAGGTAATAGACCAGTTCGTAAAGTTCCTGCCAAGGGCTCAAAGAAGGGGTGCATGAAAGGTAAAGGAGGACCAGAGAATTCAGTCTGCAATTACAGAGGAGTTAGACAGAGGACATGGGGGAAGTGGGTTGCTGAGATTCGGGAACCAAACAGAGGCCCTAGGCTATGGCTTGGTACTTTTCCTACTGCCTACGATGCTGCTCTTGCCTATGATGAAGCTGCACGAGCTATGTATGGCCCGTATGCTCGTTTAAATGTTCCTGATGTGCTGAATTCAACAAGCTCATCGAAGGACAACTTCTCCTCAGCGACACCATCTTGCTATTCTCCAGCAGCGAGTTCTGCGGACTCTGCTACTACATCAACCCACTCTGAGGTCTGCGTGTATGAGGATCCTAAGCAGAATGTATCTGGCCAAGCTGAGGTTTGTGGGAAGGATGTATCAAGCCAAGCTGAGGTTCTTGCGCATCATATATCAAGACAACAACATATTGAGGATGGTTCGCAGGCAGTTGAAAATAGCACGCTGAGGGACGAGCAGAAGAGTCAATCAGAAAATCCTTTGTGGACTCCATCAGAAAATTCCTTGGGGACCGATGAGTGGCACAACTACTCGTTGGATGAAATATTTAGCTTTGATGAGTTGCTAGGAGGGGGTATTGATGCGGGGATGATGGCGGCAGAAGGGTACTTCAACTTGGGATTTTGATAGCTCTGTAGCGTTTTCTCGAGGAAGCTATTGCTTGCGCTTTGTGCTGGTTAAAGGGTCTATAAATTTTAATGTAAAACTGGTTTCTTAGTCACTTGCTTTGCATTTTGCAAACTAGAAGTCCAATTTGAAAAGAAATTGTCAATTATTAACTGTTGTTAGGAAACAAACTAGAGTTATTGATCTTTTACTATTTACTTGGTGGGCATGGCGAAGTTTTCGCATGGTTTAGAAGGGATTAATTTGTGTAGGGCTAATTGCAATTTGCAGTGTTTGTTGATCTTATCTACCTTATCAGTGCCCAAAATGAGCGTTTTATTGGCTCAAAGCGCCAGAAGTCAAGAGGAGGGCGACAAACCTTGAAAAACCTTGTTGATATTATTTCAACCGAGGTTTTTTTTTTTGTAAAAAAAAATATCTTTATTTATTTTTTATACATATTTAGATTGTTTTGAAAAGCAATTAGTGCTGTTACAGTCACCTTCTTTGCTCTGGTCTCGAAAAGTTGATTTCTCTATGCTGACAGCGCAGCTCCTTTCGTTGTTTAGGTTTCTTTATTGGACACAATCCTGTGATTTTTAGTTTTTAACCATGGCCTGTGGGTAGAGTATTTTCTAACTGGCATGTTAAATTAAAAATTGATAAAATAACATTGTAAAAAAAATTAGAAAAATATTAATTAGAGATATGCATATGATACATGTTATTAGCATTATTTGAAACTCTTTTGAATTGTACAATTTAAAACACATGATTTAATTAGGATAGAGAAGGGAAAAAAAGAAGAAAAAAAAGATATTGAAGCTTTAATATCAACTAAAATTCTCTAAACAATATTATTTTTTAAATATTTTTTATACTGTATTATTAAAAAAATAAAGAGAGAGAGAGAGAGGGGCTATAAGCCCAAAAGAAACTCCCTGTGGCTAGCCCCTGACATTATCTTTACGACAAAACTGCTATCGAAACCTTTATCACTTTTTTCGGTTCTCTCTTGGTCTCTCTCATCATTCAAAAACTCGGGATTTTTCTTTTTCCGGTCTGGAGATTGCACGATCGAAGGGAGGAGCATCTTTAATTAGCAGACGGGAATCCAATCAAATGAATTAAAAGAAGGGGACTTTACAGCGTTAATGGAACAAATGAAATGAAGAGTCAAAATGGTTTTTTTTTTGTTAAAAAAAAAACATTCTAACATATTTATCAGAAGAAAAAATATTAAGATAAATTATTGAAAAAATTATTTTTTCATCTTTTCTTGTTTATAAAAAAAAACCCTGAAAGTATTAATATTAAAATACAAATAGTTTGTTAAAATGTATTTTTTCCACTTAAATAAACATGATAAAATAATTAAATTTACATTATTCAAAGAATAATATCAACAACTTAGATTTTTCTAAATAACTTTTGCCATCGAAGATTCTCTACGTAATGGCGTTATTTCAATTGAATAAAAACTCACCATCCATTTCATGTCATATAGGAAAAAATAACAAATATACATATATATATATATATATTTGTTAAAACTTGTTATTTTCTGCAACTATTTTGTCTAAACTTTACTGTTTAATTTTGAATTATTTGATTTTTTTAAATGTTCAAACCTATAGCGGTGCTTTAAAAATTAAAAGAAAATTCATTTTGTATATATATAAGATTTTTATAGATTAATTAGGATGAACTTCATTTATTTTTTTATTTGAATTTATCTAATAAACAATGTAGAAGAATTTCAAACTAATTTAATTTAAATTTCAGGTTAATTAAAGTATCAAATAAAAAAATTAATTTAAATTATTATGTTAAATTTAATTATAATATTAAAAAAAATTAAAGATATTAGTTTTTTAAGATCAATTTTTTTAATCCAAACCGGAACTATAACTATAGCGCGGTCATTAAACCCGAAACAGACTAAATCTATGAATTTACTACCAAACAGGGCAACAGCTCCGCCACGAATAGACACCTATGATTTTACTCAGTGACGCAGAACACTTGTCAATTCGTCGCCTCCCCCCCCCCCCTTTTTTTTT